CCCCCCCCCCCCCCCCCCCCGTCCCCATTGCGGCGCCGCAGCTGGCAGCCTCCATCCCTGCAACCCCCACCAGCCCCGCGCCCATTGGCTGGGCTCTTTCTCGGCCCCGCCCAGCGACTGGTCTGCGGGCGCTGACGCATGCGCACCAGCTTGCCGCTGCCGCTGCTTCAGCACCAGCTCTCGGACAGCGGCGCCGCCCACGGGCATGGACGGTGGCAGCAGCCGCAGCAGCTGCAGTAGTCGGTCTCCCAGCCCGTGTCCGAAAGAGGAGCAGAGGCCCGAAGGGGATTCCGTATCCCCGAACGGCAGCTCCTCGGACAGGTAGGGAGGAACAGCTCCGCAGATCCGGCTCGAGGATCTTCTCAGCATCTCTGCTCCAGGTATCTTCATTAGTCGCCATTTGTCGCCCCATTCATTGCCCATCCCTTCCTTTTGCCCCTTCTGGGGAGGGGGGAAGGATCGATATGCCCTCATCCTGCCAGGTAAATTTACTCGCTCTTTGACATCCCCCAGTGCCATCTCCCATCACCTTCACTGTCTGGGGGACCTGCCCCACCCACTGTTCTTACCTTTCCCCTAAAGCCATGGTTTCCCCCTTTCCCCTGGCCTCCCGAGCCCCTCCCTTTAGGCTTTGCCTCTGCGTCTTCGCAGAAGGCCTCAAGTCCGCAGCAACGTCAGCCTGGGCTCCAGCTGCGTGTCAGTGTGCATGGGGGTGCGCATGTACCATGGACAACAGGCTCGCCAAGGCTAGTTTCCTGGGGAGAGCAGACATTCGGCAGCTACGTCAGTGACTGTCTTTGTCTGTCACCGTCTTTTGCTTGCCTGTTTGTCAATGTCAGTTGCTTGCCTGCCCTGCATGGTCCCCAGCTGTGCACATATCTGTTTGAGTCCTTGCCTGTAGCAGCCACTGGCGTTCACTGGAGCCGCTAAGGCTCTCAGACGCAGACTCAGGTGGTGGTCTGAATGACCACTGAAGCAGCCTCAGACTTGTGGGACAGGAAGGACCCTTTCTTGCTGAGAATCTGTCCCCAGATCTGGATGCCTCTCCTCTGCCTTCCTCCGCCATATGTGTGATGGAACAGCCCAGACAGGTAGCAAGATGGCGCAATTTCTGTGCCCTGTCTGGCTCTGCTGCCCCCAGAATCTCTCCACTGACGTGGCACTGCCTCTCTCTCCTGCCTGAAATTAAAAAATATATATATATATATTTTTTGGGAGCAAAAAGCAGACAGACACATTGTCTCCAGACTGCACCAGTTAAAATTCACATTCTGTATCTCAGAGGGAAGAGAAAGCCCCACAAGTGAAAACAAACATTTTTCCCTCTTAATATATCAGTCCAGAAGGCACAGAACCTTCTTCAAAAGGGTGAGACACAGGTTGGATGTGTTTCCAGGTTCAGGGACCTACCTGTAGCTATGGCCTAACCAAAAGATAAGGAAAAGGCAGTGACAGGACAGAATAGGGGCCTAGAGTCAGAAGGAGCAGGAGAGACATTTGCTGTCTGGTATATTTTGCCAAGGTCCAGTCAGCCCTGTCTGGTGCACTCATCTCCCCCCCCCCCATAAGAATCACTTTCTCTCTTTCAGCAATTCCCGGAGACCTCTGACCCCCCTCTGCATTTCCCTGAGACCACAGATAATATGCAGGCAGAGAGACTCGATTCAATTCAATTCAATAAATACAAATATGATTGGTGCAGTGGCGCAGAGCTGTAATCCCAGCAACTCAGGAGACTGAGGCAGAAGGATCACAATGGCCTGAGAGACCCTTTCTCAAAATGAAAAATATAAAATAAAGGGCTAGGGGTAGATCTCAGGGATAAAGCACCCTGGGTTCAATCCCCAGTACTGCAAAAAAAAAAAAAAAAAAAAAAAAAAAAAGGAAGAAGAAGAAATACAAATATGTTCCTGCTGAGCTAAGTAGAACCCGGAGATGGACACATGATGACTCAGACACACACACATAGATACGCGCGCGTACACACACACACACACACACACACAAACACACAGAGACAGCACAATTTATTTTTTAAGCTTCCCACATGCCAAATACTACATCTCTAGCCCCTCTCCTGATTTTTTTTTAAGATGGGATCTTGCTTTTTTGCACAGGCTGTCCTGGAACTCTTGGGCTCAAGGGATCCTCCTTCTTTAGCCTCCCCAATAAATTAAATTACAGGTGTGTGCTACTTCACCCACAGTTTTGGGGGTTTTGGTTTTTTGTTTTTTTGTTTGTTTTGGTTTGTTTTTTTGTTTTTTTTGTGTGTTTTTTTTTTTGGGGGGGGGGTTTGTAATGCTAGGGATAGAACCCAGGGCCTTGTACATGCAACACAAGCACTCTACCACTGAGCCACACCCCCAGCCACACCTCACAGTTTTTAACCCATTGACTATAGAAAATTTTGAAATAATTGTTTGTGTTTTTAAAATTGCATTTTTAGCTAGGTGTGGTGGCACGTGACTATAATCCCAGCAATTTGGGAGACTGAGGCAGGAGGATCACAAGTTTGAGGCCAGTCCTGGCCATTTAGGGAGATCTTGTCTCAAAATAAAATAAAAAGGGTCGGAGATGTAGCTCAGTGGTAAAGCATTCCTGGATTCAATCCCCAGTACCACAAAAATTAATAATAAGCAACTTAATGAGACCTTATCTCAAAATAAAAAAATAAAAAGGGCTGGAGATGTTGCTCAGAGGTTAAGCACCCCTGGGTTCAATCCCCAGTACCTAATAATAATAATAATAATAATAATAATAAAATTACCTTTTCATTTCCTAGTGGTGTGAGCTGCTCCCTCATCTGTCCTGGCCACTCTGTGGGATCACATGGATGTCCAGGTGGCTGTGATCTGAGGGCTTGGGAATGAGGTTAATGCACACATACATATATGTTCCTTATAGGGCGCCCAAACTGGGGCTTTGTATCTAGGGCCCTGTCAGCAAGGCCCTGATTGCTGTGATGTTGGACCTCCTAAGTGGAGTGAATGTCAATATTTTCTATTCCCCTCCCTGCCTGCTTGCCTCAGTCATTTAGGGAGCTTAGGCAGCCCCCCCCCCAGGAGGTTACTCATCCCAGTCAGGGTCTCAGAACTGAGAAGGTGAGAATGAAAATCCCCTGGGGATGCAAGGACAAGAGTGCTTAACTCTTATAAGATTACTGTGTCTCCTGAGAGCAGTGGACAGCAGGCACTTGCAGAAGAAAGACTCCATTTTGAGTGGAGTTTGACTCTTTTCATGGGGAGTCCTGAAACAATGGTGCAGCTCTACAGCACTTAGAATGTGGAGGATTTCAAATTCTGGCACAATGACAATGGTGGACACAATTGAGAAGGATATGATTGGGAGCAGTAGTAGCAGCTGATCCTACGTCAGAATAGAAGTTGTTGAAGGGAGGAAGCTGGGACCAGGGAGACCCCAATGGAAGCAAACTAAGGAAGGAGCCTAGATTCCCCCCTGAACAGGAACCAATTAAGAAAGGGCATAGTTTAGGAGGTTTGACAGGAAGGGGGATTCCATTCTCCTCCAGCACCTCTAGTATGCTGGCAACCTCTAATGTAAAAATACTGACACTCTAGGTGGGGAACTGGCTCCTAGAACAAGCCCAGTGCTTAGTGCTCTACAGGGTGTGTAGCTGAAACAAGTCCCTCACATCTATACTGCTGTCCCACTCTCCTTACCTCTTGAAAGCAGGCCCTGCTCTGGAGAGGGAAATCAAGGCTAATGGATCATCTTCATGCCTTCAGGATCCAAGTACAAGGGCTGAGCACATGACAAGTGCTCAAAACAAAAGGCCATAGAATTAAAAATCTTTAATTAATAAATATCCCCACTTATAACGGAGGCCATTTATCCAGCTTCTCTTTGTCCCACAGGAATTGGCCTATAGGGTCTTTTATCTGCACTGATAAAAAATTGCTGATGTAAACACTGGTTGTTTACATCATTAATTTCATGTAGTCATCCAAGTTCTTGCTTTAAAACAACTTTAGTCAAATTCTTATTCTTGCCTGGCATGGTGGCCCTTGCCTGTAATCCCAGTGGCTTGGGAGGCTGAGACAGAAGGATTGTGGGTTCAAAGCCAGCCTCAGCAACTTAGTGAGGTCCTAAGCAATTTAGTGAGACCCTATCTCTAAATAAAATATAAAAAAGGACTGGGGATGTGGCTCAGTGGTTAAATGCCCCTAGGTTCAATACCAAGTACAAAAAAAAAATCTTATTTCTCTAAATGCTGAGCTACTAAAAAATAAGACTAATGATTTAAATCATGAGATCAAATTTCAATGCAGCTTTTGGATAACAAAGAAGAAAGTGTTTATAATTGCATATGAAATTCTCAAGGTGTGAGAAGTTCCGAAGTGGAAATGTATTATATGTGATGACAAAAGAGGACAAATTAAATATAAATATAGTTCTTAAAGCACATGCTCCCTGCAATACTGAGTGTGGGAAAGGGCAAGAAAGAAAATGCATCTTCTAACATTCTAAACTCTATGTCAGGCACCTCACATGTGTTATATTACACATCAAAATTGAAAGGTGGATGTTCTTATCATATCCTCAACAGACAAGGATGCCAGTGCTCCAGGATTGTGAGCATTTCCTGAAGCCACAGAGCTCAGGAAAGCAGTGGGAAATAGACCCAGGAGTCTGCCTCCACTACTCTCCCATTTTACCCTTAGCATAAGGGTCACTATCTCCCAGACTGCCCAGCAGCCAGTCATCCTGGAAGAAGAAGCAGTGCTTGCTTATTTTTTCCAATTCCTCCACTTGGCCTCCATAGGCAATGTCCACCTGCCACTGTGGCTAGGACTCTGGTTCATTGCCTCTTCAAAGTGCAGCAGGTAGGACTTGAAGCCAAGATTGGCTCAGCATAGACCTGGTTCTCCCATGGGAGCCATGCAAGCTTTGGCAGGCTGAGAAGCCAGGCAGATTAGGCTTTGTCAAAGTGCCAAACCCTGAACCCCCTGGGAACTATCATGGCCTTCAAGTAGTTTGTTCTTTGGCCATCTTTCCCTGTCCTAGGTCTGGCAGTCCTGCCACTGGGGAGGGACTCTATCTCCCCTGAACCAAGGGGTAAATCCATGCACAGAACATTGCCTAATAAGTAATTTTGGAAGAAGAATCTATTACTGATTCCCTGCCACATTCCTTGGGGCTCCCAATTTCCTTTTCCAACTGTGCACACCCTTGCAGAGCAAACCTTCTGCTTTCTGCATGGCTCATGACAAGAGTTTTCCCTTCTCACACAAACCAACATGTCCGACTATTGGCATCTCACTACTGTGAGTGCCTAGAGTAAGGGCTGGGATTTATTCATCCTAGCACCACTCTTAGCAGCCAGGCACCTTCTGTGTGCAAGACACTGTTTAAGGCACTAGGGATATGGAGATGAGCCAATGCACCAGGTTCCTATTTTTCCTGGCCCTCCCATTACATATGAGAGACAGGCAAGAAATACAACTCTATAATAGCCAATTGCAGTGAATGCTATGAAGAAATATCAAGCAGGGTAATAGAACAGAGAGCTGGTAAATAGAGAGTAGTCAAGGAAGACTTTCTGAGGAGGTAACAGTTGAACAGAGATCAGAATTTTTTAAAAAAGGATGAGGTCACACACACACACACACACACACACACCCCCCAGGCAATTGGTGGGAGGGGCAATATAACAGAAGGAAGAGAAGGTTCAAAGGCTCTAAGATGGGAACAAGAGTGCTAGGTGCTCAACAGATATCTATCAAGTGAATGAGCAGACAAGTACCACAGGAAGGATACAGGGCTACAAGTCAGAAGAAGTGGCTTCAAGTTCCAGATCTTCAACTCTCATGGAATCTGCTTTCAAATCTATAAAAGAAGAAAATGCTTCCCTTATGGGATTTTTGTAAGGAGAAAATAAGATCATGTATATAAATTGGGCACAGTCATATGCACCTGTGATCCCAGCTACTTAGGAGAATGAGACAGAAGGATGTAGTGTTTGAGGCCAACCTTAGCTACACAGCAGGACCTCATGTCAAAAAATACATGTCATATATGTAACAGCACATTCAGTGTTGAGCACAGTGTCTGGCAGGTTGCCAACAGTGTCTTTAGAATTCATGGACGGTGAGTGAATGAGAGAACAGACCCCAAGAAGAAGCCTGGGGATACAGACTTTGAGCCTCTACCCTTCTCACTTTTCCCCAGGACTAGTAAATAAAACAACCCTGAGCTCTGTCTCCATGTCTTCCCTTAACTGAATAATTCTTGCTGAGCATGAAATGACCCACTACCATCCTCTACCCCTATCTTTCCTGCCTGCTGTCTCCCCAGGTCCCAGACCAAGGCCATGGCGCCTGAGGCTAGCCCAGAGAGGAGCTGCTCCCTCCACAGCTGTCCCCTTGAGGACCCCTCCAGCTCTTCTGGACCCCCACCACCAACTTCCACTCTTCAGGCTCTAGACCCGACGGGTGCCTTAGCCCCTGGTCATTTTACCTATTCGCGGCAACCGCAAGAATATCAAGAAGGCAGTTCTCTATTAGGGACTGGAGACCAGGCAGCTTTATGCTCGCATAGCTCCAACATCAATACTTCTCCAATCTCCTCACAGCGTGATGGGGTCTGGAAGCCACCTTCTGTGCAACAGCATGTGGTCAGCGTCAGGTAAGGAGCGGTTCAGCAGCCTGTCAGCTGCCACTGAAAGGTAGGACAGGGCTCAAAAATGGAACAGATTGCTGGGGGTCTGGATGTCCACTGCCTCTGATGGAGTAGAAGGAAAAAGTTAGAGCTTGGGGGTGGGAAAGCTCTAAGAGGATTAATGCCATCTTCCTTTACACACCATCCTCTATTCTTCCACACCCTCCCACCCCACCTCTCTCCACACATACTCCACATAAAGACTCAGGTAAACAAGGGTCTTTTCTTCTTTTCCCACAGGCAGGAACGGACCTTCCGGATGCCAAAGAGGTAGGCCTGGGCCTCCCCCAGATTCCTAGGGGTGACCAGGCTGGTGTCCAGTTTAACCCTGCTCTATGTGCTTTCTGTTCTACCACCCCTTTTCAGTGGATTCTAAGCTCAGCAGCCTCTTATTACCACACCTAACACCAACTCATGTGGTTCCTTCCCTCTTTCCCAGCTATTCCCAGCTGATTGCTGAGTGGCCAGTGGCCGTGCTGCTGGTGTGTTTAGCTGTCATCCTCCTCTGCACCCTGGCTGGACTACTGGGAAGCCAGCTGCCTGACTTCTCGAACCCTTTACTGGTGAGAGGTCAAAAGGAGGGAGGGGGCCCCAGGCCTGGCCACTGAAGCTCAGTCTGGGGCTGAGTTGACCCAGTTGGGGTAGGGAAGGAATGGTGAGCTCTTGACCTCCAGAGAGAGCTACAAATAGTATAGAGGTCATACATCTACAATCCACACAGGCAGGCTGGCCGGCCCTCCCTGCTTTAGAAAACCAAAGGGGCAGAGCTGGGGACATCCCAGATAGAGAGCTCCTCCTCTGCCTACCCACTCTTCTCTGCCCTCCTCCCTGCAGGGCTTTGAGCCTCGGGATACAGACGTCGGGCGAAAGCTAGAGGTGTGGAAAGCACTGCAGGCCCTCACAGGCCCCAGGAACCTACTTACCCTTTCCCCAGACCTTGATCTGAACAGGTAACAGATCCCCATTTTCCCACTGAGGGTGGGAAAGGGAGGAAGAACTTGGTCTCTAGGGAGGGAACATTGAGTGACCTCCAAAAGGCAGGTCAGAGGTGCTTGCTGGGGCTCCCTGGGGAGTGATCTCTGGCCTCCATGAGCTTCCACTCCCAATGGTACCTAGTACAGAAATTCTCTCTACTTCAGCTTGAACTCCCACAGCACTTTGAATCCTGTACACTGGGATAAGGCTCAGGAGAGTGTGGTCCGGGCCCGGAGAATGGTGGAGCCCCCTGAGGACAGAGGGCAGGAGAACTTCTTCTGTGGCCCCCCTGGTAAGCAACAGGCTGGCCAGCCCTGGCATCCATGGTGGTCCCTGCCCTACATAGTAGGATAGGCAGACCCAGAATAAATGTGGGCAGACAGAAAGTGAAGGCAGCCAGCTGGCCACATTCAAGTCAAAGAACCTGGGATACAGCTGGGAGAATGAAGCAGATCCCAGATACTCTAAGCTAGTGGGGTCAAGCTGGGTGGGAGGTAGGGTACAGGGGCAGGATCAAATAGCCAGGCATGGGTTTCAGGCTCCTGGGAATCTGATCCTTCAGTGGCCCTGGGTGAGCATCTTCCCTTTGGTGGTGGGCCCAAAACCTGGGGCCCAAAGGCCTGAGCTCCAAGTGGGTGTGTTACAGAGAAGAGCCACGCAAAGCTGGTGTTCATGTCCACCACAGTGGGCAGTCTATGGAACCTGCATGCCATCCATTCTATGTGTCGCATGGAACAGGAGCAGGTAAGCTGGCTGGGGAGGTGTCAGGGGTATTTGGGGGAACTAAGGCATGAGGGGCCTGATCCCAAGGATGAGCTAAGCCAGGACTGCTGTAGTTGAGTAGGGAAGAGCATTCCCTGTTTAGAAAATTATTCTAACCTTGCAGAGAGGCTCCAGTTTGAGGTGGGTAAGGAAGAACTGACTGCTTTTAGAAAAGCCAAACTACAGTTGCCACAAGAAAACCTGAGCAAAGCCTGGGGATTTTCAAAATTTCCTGAAAAAGAACCTTAAGCACTGTAGAGGAGACCCTGGCCTCGGGGACTGAGACGGTGGGCTTTAAGGCCTCAGCCCTCATCAACTCAAGCAGTGCCTATCCAATTATGCTAACTGGGGATCATATATGATAACATCTGTAGGAGGGTTTGCTTCTAAAAACAGTGTGAAAATCACTCAGGAGCCTATGTCCCCTGCCTCACATCAGGATATCTAGAGTACCAAAAGACAATGGTTAAGAACATATGTTCTGGAGTTAGTTGCCTGAGTTTAAGATGAGCTCCAAGGCTTCCTTGCTGCATGACTTAACCTCTCAGTGCCTCAGTCTCCATATATTTGTTGTTTTCTTTTTGTGGTGCTAGGGCTCAACCCCAGGGCCTGATACCTGCTAAGCACATATTCTATTATGGAGCTACACTCTCAGCCCTCATATATGTTAAATATGGATAATAATAGTACTTCCTTCATAAGGATATTGGGACAATTAAACAAAATAGAATCTGGGAAACTATAGCATAATGACTGGCAATAGAAATTGCTCTGCAAACATGTCATCACCATGACAGTGGCAGAGTAGGATCTCTGACTCCCAGGCTGGAACTGGCTGTACTGTACCAACTGCTGTGATGTTAATTACAGGGTGGGAGAGGTAAGGAGGCATAAAAAAGAAACAGCTCTGACCCTAAGAGGATTTAAGCAGCCCAGGGAGAGAGGTAGGGGCTGGGGTTTGGCAGTACCCCTGATGCTGGAATGCTCAGGCCCCTACTTTTTCAATTGCTTGCTTCCAGCTTCCTGGCCCCTTGGTCCTATTCCATAATGTGGATGCTACCTCCATTCCTACTCTTGGCCCAGGCAGTGCAGAGTTCGAGTGTGTGACTTATTGGGGTCCTTAGGGAAAGGCCTCTCAAGCTGAGGCCTCAGGCAGCATCCCTGAGGCTCCCCTTTGACAAAGCCAAGATGCCAGTAGCTAAAACCAATTCTTGAGACAAGCAAATTCTGTTGGGCTGTCAAGCTATTTCTTTGTCTGCCCAGTAAACTGAAAGGTGAGAGGACTAGGACAGGGCTGAGGAAACCTGGGTCCCTGGACTGCCCCTGAGCTCTCTTCTGCTGTGTGCCCTACAGATCCGCTCCCATCCCAGCTTTGGGGCTCTATGTCAGCGTACAGCAACCAACCAGTGCTGTCCCAGCTGGTCACTGGGCAACTATCTTGCTATGCTCTCCAACCGCTCCTCCTGCCTGGACACTACCCAAGCTGATGCAGCACGCATACTGGCCCTGCTGCGGGCCTGTGCCCCCTATTACCATCGTGGTATCCTGGAGCCCTCTTGTCTGGGACCTGAGCATGACAAATCCCCACACTGTGCCCAGATTCCCACCAAGTGCTCCCAGAGCAGTGCCATTTACCAGCTCCTTCACTTTCTGCTAGATAGGGATTTTCTGAGTCCCCAGACTGCTGACTACCAGGTTCCCTCCCTCAAGTATAGCCTGCTCTTCCTGCCCATCCTAAAGGGTGCCTCCATGATGGACATTTACCTAGATGGCCTAGTCAACCCCATGGATATCTCTGACAACTATACCTCCATTACTGGCATGGACCTGGGCATCAAGCAGGAGCTGCTGAAGCACTATCTGGCTGTGGATACGGTGTACCCCTTGCTGGCCCTGGTTGCCATCTTCTTCAGCATTGCCCTCTACCTGCGCTCACTCTTCATCACGCTCATGGTTACGCTGGGGGTGCTGGGCTCCCTACTGGTGGCCTTCTTTCTATACCATGTGGCCTTCCGCATGGCCTACTTCCCTTTTGTCAATCTGGCAGCCCTCATCCTGCTTAGCGGTGTCTGCGTCAACCACACACTCATCTTCTTCGACCTATGGCGCCTCAGCAAAAGCCAGGTGCCCTCTGGGGGTCTGGCGCAGCGAGTGGGCCGCACGATGCACCACTTCGGCTACCTGCTGCTGGTCTCGGGCCTCACCACCAGCGCGGCTTTCTACGGCAGCTACCTGAGCCGCTTGCCGGCGGTGCGCTGCTTCGCCCTCTTCATGGGCACCGCTGTGCTAGTGCACATGGCGCTCACACTGGTCTGGCTGCCTGCCTCTGCGGTACTCCATGAGCGCTACCTGGCGCGCGGCTGTGTGCCCCGGGCACAAGGCCCGAGGGGCAGTAGTGACCCCTGGCGGCTGTTGCTAGCGTTGCACCGGCGGTTCCGTGGCTTTCGGAGGGCCATTGCCATCCTCTCGCGCCTGCTCTTTCAGCGTCTGCTGCCCTGTGGCGTCATCAAGTTCCGCTACATCTGGATCTGCTGGTTCGCGGCGCTGGCTGCAGGGGGCGCCTACATTGGCGGCGTAAGTCCCCGCCTGCAGCTCCCCATTCTGCTGCCAGCTGGCGGTCAGGTGTTCAGGCCTAGTCACCCCTTCGAGCGCTTTGACGCAGAGTATCAGCAGCAGTTTCTGTTTGAACACCTGCCTCCGGAAGAGGGCGGACAATTGCCCGTGGTTTTGGTGTGGGGAATCCTGCCGGTGGACACTAGCGACCCCTTGGACCCTCGCAGCAACAGCTCATTAGTGACCGACCCTGACTTCTCAGCCAGCAGCCCAGAAGCCCAGCGCTGGCTTCTGGCACTCTGTCACCGAGTCCGCAACCAGAGCTTCTTTGGTATCCAGCCAGAGGGCTGGCCCACGCTGTGTTTCATGGAGGCCCTCCAGCACTGGGTAGAGAGCCCAGCTTGTGCCCGTCTAGGGCCTAATGTCTGCTGTGGCCAGTCAGACTTTCCCTGGGCCCCTCAGCTTTTCTTGCACTGCCTCAAGTTGATGGCTCAGGAGCAAAGCCCCGATGGCACCCGTGACCTGGGACTCCGTTTTGATGCCCATGGCAACCTGGCTGCCCTGGTCCTGCAGTTCCAGAGCAACTTCCCGTACAGTCCAGACTACAACCAGGTCCACCACTTCTACACTGAGATCAGCCGCTGGCTGGCAGCAGAGCTGGGCAGGGCACCTTCTGGCCTCCACCGTGCTTGGTTCACCAGCCACCTAGAGCTGTACAGCCTGCAGCACAGTCTGAGCACTGAGCCTGCTGTAGTGCTGGGCCTGGCTCTGGCACTGGCCTTTGCCACACTGTTGCTGGGCACCTGGAATGTTCCACTCAGCCTGTTCTCCGTGGCAGCTGTGGCAGGCACTGTTCTACTCACGGTAGGACTTCTGGTTCTACTTGAGTGGCAGCTCAACACTGCTGAGTCCCTCTTTCTCTCTGCCTCTGTGGGTCTCTCAGTAGACTTCACTATCAACTATTGCATCTCCTATCACCTGTGCCCACACCCTGACCGCTTGAGCCGCGTGGCCTTCTCGCTGCGCCAGACCAGCCGTGCCACAGCAGTGGGAACTGCAGCCCTGTTTGCATCTGGCGTGCTCATGCTACCTGCCACAGTGCTGCTCTATCGCAAGCTGGGCATCATCATCATGATGGTCAAGTTCGTCAGCTGTGGCTTTGCCAGCTTCTTCTTCCAATCTCTGTGCTGTTTCTTTGGGCCAGAGAAGAACTGTGGACAGATCCTCTGGCCCTGTGCCCACCTGCCATGGGACGCTGGAAGTGGGGACCCTGATGAGGAAAAGACACGACCATTAGGAGGTATGCCTGGATCCTGCTCTGAGCATTATGAGCTTCAACCCCTGGCACGGCGCCGGAGCCCCAGCTTTGACACTAGCACAGCCACCAGCAAGCTATCCCACCGGCCCTCGGTACTCTCAGAGGATCTGCAGCTTCATGACGGCAACTGCTGCTCTGGAATTCCACTAGACCCTGGCTCTCCGAGGGATCTGCTGCTGGACCACCAGGCAGTCTTCAGTCAGTGCCCAGCCCTGCAGACCTCCTCCCCCTATAAACAAGCTGGCTCCAGCCCCAAAATTGGGGCCAGGCAGGATTCCCAAGGGCAGAAGGTTGAGCCCCTGCAGGCCTCACTGGAAACCCCAGCTCACTCCCCAAGGCTCAAGGCTGAAGATCTTCCTGATGGCTTTTGCTCCTCAACCAGCACCCTAGAGGGGCTAAGCGTCTCAGATGACACCTGCCTAAGCACCTCTGAGCCCAGTGCCCGTGTACCAGATTCCATGGGTGTCTCTCCAGAAGACCTAGATGACATTGACCAGCCAATACTTGAGCGGGGCCAGCTGAATGGGAAGCGTGACACTCTGTGGCTGGCACTGAAGGAGACGGTGTATGATCCATCACTGCCCAACTCCTACCAGAGCAGCTCCTCCTGGAAGGGCCGCGGTGGGCCAGGGGATGGCAGCCCTGTGATGCTGCCCAACAGCCAGCCAGATCTGCCAGATGTTTGGCTCCGCAGGCCCAGTACCCACACTTCAGGCTACAGCAGCTAAGGAAGACCAAAGGAAGCCAGACCTGAGTGCAGAACCTTGTCAGTAAAAATAAGGCAGGGGCAGCACCAGGCTGCAACGTGAAAGTATTCTCCAAATCAACATGGATTTTAAACCCTGCCAGATATTCCAGCCTTGATCTGTCTGTGACTTGCCCCCTATATCTGGAGGATTCAACAGGGAGTGCCTTTGGAAGGGAATACAGGCTCTCCTTGTGACCCGCTGAGGGCTCATCTGCTCCCACAGTGCCAACAACGACCTCCTCCTCTGGAAAGGGGAAAGGCCAAGTGTGCAGTTCTGAGTATCAGGGGAGGCTGACCTGACCCCCCTCCCAACAAGAAGTTCAGTGACACTATGGTACCTTGTCTTTGGGATCCTTTTGGGGTACCTCACTGACCAGAAGAGCCCTTGGGAACCTCCATAACCTCCTAGGTTTCATCCCTCTCATTGACTCTTCATCAGGACACTTCTCACTTTGGGGGGAGCTTCTCTGGGCCAGAATTAGGCTGAGGCCTCTATCCTAAACTACCCTGCTCTGCTCACATTCACAGTTTAACCAGAAAGTTCTCCAAAGCTGGGCAGAGATGGCTGCTGGGAGTGAAGCAGGAGAAGGTGGGATGATCAGTCTTGGAGCATTATCAAATTGCAAGACTCCCTCTTTGGAAGCAGGCTCCAGTGCTCTCCCCCATTTAAAAACAAAAACAATAATAATCCTTTCCATTTCCACACCTGTTAGTCTCCTTGGACTCTCACTACTTTACCACAGCACCATCTGCAGTTGATTAGGGTCTCACCCCTAATTTGCAGGTAAAGACATTGAGACTAAGTAAGGTTGGTCATGTCACCTGTCAATGGCAGAGCAGTATCCTGACTCATTCTACCATAACTCCAAGTCTCCATCCAGCTACCTGCTTCAGAGACATTGGCCCCTTGGCTGTCTTGATCCTTCTCTTCTAGCACATTCCTCCAACCTGCCTTCTTAGATGTCTTTGTGGAAACCCTGCCTCCCCTTTGAGCCTCCATCTGCAGAGAAAGCTGTACTCTGAACAGATCCTAGGGTTCCTCCTTGTCTCCTTTGTGCTTCCCTCTGAAATCCTCTGAGATGTCTTTCAGGCTTGTGGCATCATGACTGACCTGATTCTGAGGCTCCGGAGACATGTCTCTTCCATGGTCATAGTGTGCAGAGTGGCCTCGCCAGGAAAGGTACTGAAGGTAGATGAGGTTGAGCAGAATCCAGTTAATCCGGGAATTCAGACTTGCCCCCTTTTTTTTTTTTTTTTTTTTTTGGAGGGGAAGGGTGAATCTGAAGGTGCTCCCCAGGTCAGGTCCCATGCTTCTTAAGAATGAGTTTCTCTAGGGCAGACCAAATCCTGGCTCTCCCTACCCAAAGCAGAGTCTGTCCTGAGGTTTCATCCCCGTAAGAACTCATAACACTAGGGGACATCAGCATGTTTATGGAACACTTGTTTTGCATATGATATTACAAAGAACTAGGCCATCTTACAAATGAGTATCAGAAATACGACGAGATTTTTCCACATCCAAACAGACAATCTGTGACAGAACTGAAGGCAAATCAGAGGGTGTTTTGTTTAATTTTGTTGTGTTCTTGTGTTAGTTATTAAGACCTACCTCCCATCCCAAATAGCTCATGACAAGTGGAGCAGAAATTCAAATGAGATGTAAGAGTTATGGAAGACAGAGAAGACAGTACAGTTGTCCCTTAGTACCCACCCTCAGTATCCATGGAGAATACCAAAATCCAAGGATGCTCAAGTCCCTTGTGTAATGGTGTAGTATCTGCATATAATCTGCGTATATCCTCTCATATACTTTAAATTGTCTCTAGATTACTTATAATATCTAATACAATGTATATGCTGTGTAAGTCGTTGTTACACTGTGTTGAAAAAAAGAGAAAAGTCTGTATGTGTTCAGTTCTGATGTGATTTTTTTTTCATGCGGAATATTTTCAGTCTGTGGTTGATTGAATGCACAAATGCAGAACCCACAAATATGGAGGGCTGACCACATAAGTTGTCTTTTTGCAAAATAAATAAATCAAGATGACTCCTGACGAGGAACAGTGGCACATCTGTTCCAGCTACTCAGGAAGCTGAGACATGAAGATCACCTGAGCCCAATTCAAGGCCAACCTGGGCAACATAGCAAGACCCTGTCTAAAAAAAAGAAGACAAGGATGAAGAAGAAAAAGAAAGTAACTCCTGCCATAGGAAGAGGGGGCAATGACTAGCACTTAATTTGGATCTGTCCATCTAAGGGACCTCTCTCTATATGTCCAAGTAGCATTCAGCCTCTCTACCCTACATCTGCTCATCAGGGTTCTTTCTAGCTTCTCTGCACCATGGACTGGGTCTCTCTGTTATCACACAGCCAGACCAGGACATCCCTGATCTTATCTGGGATAATAGGGCACAGGAAAGACATGATGATCCATCTTCATAAGCACAAACACATGAGCAGAAGTTCTGCCTTGGGCTGCGGGTGTAGCTCAGTGGTACAGCACACATATAGCATGTACAGCACACATATAGCATGTATGAAGCCCTGGGTTCAATTTCTATGCACACACACGTACATAAAAAAAAAAAAAAGGAAAGAAAAAAGCAGCTTTAAATACATCCATATACTAATAATTCCCAAAAGTACAGTCATTCCTTGGTATCCCAAGGGTTTGGGTTCCAGGAACCCCAGGTTACCAAAATCCAAAGATGCTCAAGTCCTTTATTAAAAATGGCTTAATACTTACATATAACCTACACAATCCTCCCACACGCATTACATTATCTCTAGATTACTTATAATATCTAATACAATGTAAATGCTATTAAATCACTCTTAGGTTATATTGTTTAGGGAACAGGGGAAAATGACAAGGAAAAAAGCATATATATATGTGTGTGTGTGTGTGTGTCTGTGTGTGTGTGTGTGTGTGTACACATATACAGTACAGATGCAATTTCTTTCTCCAAATAATGTATATATATGGAATTCAAGGATGAAGGGCTTACTGTATATCTACAACCCAGAACCTCCTCTGGGCTCAAAGCTTGTATTTCCAGCTGCCTATCTGACCACTCTAGTGAAATGTCTCAAAGGTATTTAGAGTTTTCCATGTTCAAAACTAAACTCTCACATCCTTCTCACATGCCTCCACAAAATAGTGACTCTATCCACACAATTAATTATTCAAGCGTAGGAGTTATCCTCAACATCTTCCTCTTTTCTCCCTCCCTTCCCTAAATCCCATCTAGCCTGAGACTCTGCCTCCCAAAATTGCTGCACATGTATCTGCTCCATCTCCACCACCATGGCCCAGGGGCCATCATCTCTAACTTGAACATAGCAATATCTTCCCAACCTCCCAACTATCTTTAGTCCATTCTCCAGAATGAATTCCATTAAAAGCCAGAGTAAGCTTTTTTTTAGAATATATTTTTTAATATTTATTTTTTAGTTGTAGTTGGACACAATTTATTTATTATTTATTTATTTATTTATTTATTTATTTATTTATTTCTATGTGGTGATGAGGATCAACCCAGGGCCTCACACATGCTAGGCGAGCGCTCTACCGCTGAGCCACGATCCCAGCCCCACAGTAAGTTTTTAAAAATATAATTTGATATTAAATAAGAGTAAGCTTCAGCTAGGCACAGTGACGCACATCTATAATCCCAGCGGCTGGGGAGGCTGAAGCAGGAGGATTTTGAGTTCAAAGCCAGCCTCAGCAAAAGTGGCATTAAGCAACTCAGTGAGATCCTAAATAAAACACAAAATAGGGCTGGGGATGTGGCTCAGTGGTTGAGTGTTCCTGAGTTCAATCCCTAGTACCAAAAAAAAAAAAAAAAACTTCATTAGCTTTTCTTCCCATTCCCCTATGTTCGTTCATGTAATTAACTCCCTCTCATTCTTCCTGAGTCAAACACCACCTGAATGTTCCCTGATCCCCAAATTTGAACTAAGCTTCCCTGCTTTCCTCTCATAAAATTTTATACTTTTCTTCATAGTTTAATCACAATTAAACTCCAGAAAGGCAAAGTCAAGCTCAGTCCTGATGCTCAGTGAACATTCGTCGAATAAAATGAATGTACATCAGAGAACTCTACCCTGTTTAATAGGAGTGGTTTTCAATCTCCATTTAAATAAGGATTAGTGTTATTACATTTAGGAGTCCAAATAGGTGTTTAGGTATTGCAGCCCACTGAGCCTTCAGTTTTCATCCCAATAACCTATGCTCTTAGCAGTAACCTTAACGTCCACAGACCAAATAAACAGCTTTGTGACGTGGACATTAAACGTGGTCACGTTTTCGCCTCCTGCCCGGAATGACACCGTAGTTCATTAGCTCCATTCAGGCCTGCCAAGTGCGCCCCCTTCCCCTCCTAGATCCGGGGCTCCCACACCTGTGCTAGAACCTTCCGTACAGCATGGCGGCTCCCGAAGTCGCGGCGCGGGACAGACTCTTCCGCACATCAGGGCCGCCTACGGAAAGCGACTTGCAACCCCGCCCTCCCAGCTCCCGGAAGTTTCCATTTGAAACCGAGGCGGCAGACCCGACTGGCTGCTTGGCCGTTGCTGCTGAGCCTCTTCTGAACAACAGCGACAAGGACTGCGAGCGGGAGCCGCGAGCGTCTGAGTTCGTCTCTCCCCGGGCGAGGGACTGGGCTGGGTGTGGGGGCGGATGGGGTGGCGCCGGGTGGAGGCGCTTCTTCCCAGATCCCGAGCCTGGGCTGGCAGCGTCAAGCTTTCCCCCTGTCCTCCACCTGCTCGGGCTGGGGCGCGGCGCTGCAAAACATTCACCTTGCACCTTCCAGGGCCCAGCCGTGCCGCCTCCTTACTATGACCAGTGTGGTTAAGACAGTGTACAGCGTGCAGCCCCCCTCTGTGCTGAGCGGCGGCCTGTCGGCAGGTGGGTGTACACACCAGCCCCAACCCAGGTACTGTGGACCCGCCGTAGAAGTCAAGCCGGGAGTACAAGGATCTGATCGATGGTTGGGAATGTGGGGCGCGGAACCTGGAGGCCCTTCGGTGGGCTAGCCCCCTAGATCCCGGTTGTCTAGGTTTATGATGGGAGCTAGGGGAAGAACCACGTGGTAGGACCGGTAACACCCCATCCCCACCTTTGCCGCTTTCACCAATTAGATTGAAGTTGCTGGTTGTGGTACAACATTATTAAACTAGGATTTTTTTTTTTTTTTTAAGGAATATCCATTTTATTTCCAAACTTGGTATCTCTTGTCTGGGAGGAGACTCATTTGAGGAGTGGGACGTTTGTCTGGAGAGAGCTAGGGTACTTTATTTACATTAATATCTGCCCATTTTCTTTTTTTTTTTTTTTTTTAAGGAATATCCATTTTATTTCCAAACTTGGTATCTCTTGTCTGGGAGGAGACTCATTTGAGGAGTGGGACGTTTGTCTGGAGAGAGCTAGGGTACTTTATTTACATTAATATCTGCCCATTTTCTTTTTTTTTTTTTTTTTTAAGGAGAGAGAGGGAGAATTTTTAATATTTATTTTTCAGTTATCGGCGTACACAACATCTTTGTTGGTATGTGGTGCTGAGGATCGAACCCGGGCCGCAGGCATGCCAGGCGAGCGCGTTACCCCTTGAGCCACATCCCCAGCCCCCATTAGCCCATTTTCAATAAATGTTGAGTGAAATGAGAGGGGTCAGGCCTAGCCAAAGTATTTGAGAACTTTGGGAAAAGAGAAAGACATGACTGAAAACATAATCTTAATTGCTTTCCTGCCTTACTTTGTGTTGTTTTGCTTGTGGTTGAAAGTTATCTCATAGGGTCTTCAGTGGTTGAGCTGCCTAATCCAAAAATTATAGCATAGAATAAACTCCAGACACCTGAAAACTGTTGTGGGAGATTATGGAGTAGCTATTTATGATCCCTTCCCAGATGATTCCATGCAGCTGGTTGATAAGCAGTGGCAAGATTGATGTCTGAAGTAAACAGGCTTTTCTCCAAGCCTTAAAGGGTTGTTGTCTTTGTTTTGGCTGCTTCAACACCTGGATGGTAATCCTGGCATCATCAGGGGCTGCACTTAGCTGGAGAACTGGTCTCTCACCACAGTCCTGCTGTCTTTCTCATGGGGTGCTGCAGTCACTGGCCATCTCCCAGTCAAGATGCAAATAATTCATTGCTTTCTCTTCCTATTTAATGAGATAGGTTTGTTATTGTTTCTAACATTAAAAAAAAAAAAACGTTTATTTTTTAGAAGTAGTTGGACACAATACCTTTATTTTATTTATTTTTATGTGGTGCCGAGGATGGAACCCAGGGCCTCACACTTGCTAGATGAGTGCTCTACCGCTGAGCCACAATCCCAGCTCATGTTTCTAACTTTTTAAATACTTGAGATAGGATAAAATAAATGTTGCCTCAAGGTTACTTTTTACTTCAGATACCTCAAAAAAAGTATTTGTTTTGGGTTATGAGTATGAAAAATAGAGCTGGAAAAGTTTTTAAAAATATAAAAACAATAATATAGACCTGGGCATAGTGGCACATGTCTGTAATCCCAGCTAAAAGGATCATAAATTCAAGAGCAGCCTGGGCAATTTTGAGAGACCCTGTCTCAAAATAAAAAAAGGCTGTGTATGTAGTTCATCAGTAGGGCACCCTTGAATTCAAAAGTACCTTTGGGTTTCATCTTCAGTACCACAGGGAAAAAAGAAAACCGAAGTGAAGGTTAGGTGCCCATAAAAATATACCCTTAAATAAAATAATGTGTTAACCTGAGAGACAGGCAATAGTTTAGAGGTAAAGGCTATGAAACAGCCCATGAAACTGAAGTATTTCACTTATTCCAACAGTATACTTGGATTTTTTTTTCATACGTGAGATGCTCTACTAGGCTCAGAGGACACACAGATGACTTTTAGGGTGGTTAGGAAGACATTTTGACAAGTGAACTGTTAGGCAGCCAGAGTTATTCAGATAAAATCTTGTTGTATACAAATAAAAAACTTTCTAATCTCTGCAGTCTAGCACTTTGTACTTCATTTCTTCAACCTGATGTAATTGTTACGGCTCTTAACTTAGGTCAAGTTTAAAGGGGCCATTTTACAGTGAACAAAATGAAGTTAGTATAATTTAGAAAAGACAGGGCTGGGGGCTGAGATTGTGGCTCAGTGGTAGAGCTCTTGCCTAGCATGTATGAGGCACTGGGTTCAATCCTCAACACCACATATAAATAAACAAATAAAATAAAGGTATTGTGTCCATCTACGACTAAAAAAAAATTAAAAAAAAAGACAGGGCTGGGGTAGTGATAGAGTGCTTGCCCAGCATGTGCAAGGCTCTAAGTTCATTCCCCAACACTTAAAAGAAGGTGTGGGGGAGAAGAAGGAAAGCCTGTGTGTATATGTTGTGTGGGCAGGGGGGGGGTGTCTTAATTCCTGAATAAGTTAGTTGAATTTGCTATGAAATATAAATTATAGAAAATGTGTGGTGAAGGGCTGGCTTAAGGCTGGGGGGGGGGATATGCTCCCCTTTAGGAACCAAGTGTCTAATGGCAGGACCATATCATGGTTATCTGGCCATAACCCAGCAAGATCAAAAAGAATCCAAATAGGGAACCTCTAAACTTAACAAAGGATCAGTAAAGTAAAAGAGCTGGTGATAGAGGCCTCAGAAAAAAGAGGAAAGAAGACAGGCAATAGTTTAGAGGTGAAGGGCTATGAAACAGCCCATGAAACTGAAGTATTTCATTTATTTCAACAGTAGTACTTGGACTTTTTTTCATATGTGAGATGCTCTACTAGGCTCAGAGGACACACAGGTGACTTTTAGGGTGGTTAGGAAGAAATTTGACAAAAACAGACAAAAATTGAATGAAAAGCCACTGGAGTTTTGCCGTAGGATAATGTGCTGAGTGCTCTGGGAACTTAACAATATGGGATAACTGCATAGGTGTTTGATGATTTCCTGCTGGGGTTTTGCCCTGCTAACTCTGCCTTTCATTTAACCCATTACTTGTATCAGTCTCCACATTCATATTTATTTCCTCCAGCATTTCAGTTTGATGTGTTAAGTACACTAAATTATCACATTTAAAGAATTTTGGTTTCTATTGACAATTAGTCCAGAAGTCTTACTCTTTGAAATTAGTCTTCACAAACTGAAATTGGCCAGTATGAAAATAAAGGCTTATACACTTGGGATGGAATTGTATGTTATAGGGTTGCAGCTGATGGGTCATAAAGCTTTGGTTTCTCTCTCTCTCGTTTTTCCTTGCAGATACACAAACTCGAGCTACTACCAAGAGTCTGTTACCTATTAAGTCCAAAGAAGTCGATGTTTCCAGACATCTTTATTCAGGAGGTTCAGATAATGATATTACAAAAATCACCAAACCAAAGCGAGAGAATGGGTGAGAACAGATCATTGGTATCCAGGTAGAGCCCTTGCCTGGTATGCACAAGGCCCCAGTTCAATCCCCAGCACCACAAAAGACAAAACAAAAAACCATCTTGTTAGAAATTGCTCAGTACTAAGAATTAAAAACTAGGGGTTCAGGAGCACCAGGCTCCTGAATGATAGCCTGTGGCACCACTGACCTGTTTGTCAGGGTTCTCTGTGTTAATCTGTTCTGAAGGGAGATAGCAAGGATTATGAAAAGATGTATTCTTTCCTCTCTCACACTTGCTTTGAGTATGTAAATGGTATTGCAAGGGCCTAGCTGTTAGCCTAGGTTGCTGATCTGAGCAAAGTCCAGCCCCAGTGTAGGATATATGCTTGTCCCCTAGCCAGTGTTCTTTTCCCAGGTGAGTTTAGTTACCATGGGATGGCCACACTATCTGGAGCATGAGCAGGTCTGTCAGGTTGTTGAGATAATCAGGAAGGCAACCCTTTCCCTAATGATAAAACTTTCTCAGTGTGAAACCAAAGAGCATAGGCATTTAGGCTCTTAAGCCTGTACTGTTTGCTGTGTACCTAATCTCTGATTCTTTCTTCAGAAGTTCAAGCTCTTAGTTCTGCCTTGTTTACAACACAGTGCAACATAGTATGATTCCCGGATTAATTTGTTTTTTGCTTCTCTAGGCAGATGAAGGCTGCAGATACTGCCATCAAGAGGAACACGAAGAAGAGGTGAGCTACAGGGTAAATAAACCTGGCCACCATTTTAGGGTAATTCATGTTCCCAGTTGTGTGTCACTCATGGGACTTGTTTAATATATTATGGTCTAGGTACCTGAGTGGAATTTTCAGGGATAAGGCAGAGCGTGCAGTGAGAACCATTGTCAGTACAAGAATCGGTGGTGCCACCATCTTGAGCCTCAGACAAGAGCTTTCTGTGCTCCATGCCAGGACCACTGCTGATGGCCCACCAACAGGAGTTTGGAATAGGAGTGGTTAGTGACAGTGAAATAAATGTTCCAGTGGTGGAGGTGGACATGGTAAACTCCTGGACCCATCTCTGTTTCAGGATAGTTTGAAAGTTTTACAGTCTTGAAACAGATAATGAGAAACTGAAAAGCCTATGCACCTAGGTTCTATTCCAAATCTATTAGGTGGGCATGTCTTAAAACTTTTGAAGACAAAATGCTAGTAAGAAAGAATTTCAAAATGAAGGATTAATATTGATGATGACTACAGTGGCTATTTATTAAATGTTTATCATGTGTTAGTATCTGGCCTAAACACTATATATGGGTTTTCTTTTATTCTTCACAATAATATTATGAAATGTGTGATCTTCACTCTAGAAATGAGTACCCGGAGCCTCAACGAGGTTATGCAACTCACTGAGTCGTATACTACTATATAATGAAAACAGGGTTCATACCTGTTTGAGTAACTCCTTAGCCCCCATATTCATCCCCTCTGCATCTTCATGTAAAGTACAACTTTTTTTGCAGCTACAAACCATTGAGTAAGCAAAAATCAGAGGAAGAGCTCAAGGATAAAAATCAGCTATTAGAGGCTGTCAACAAGCAGCTGCACCAGAAGTTGACTGAGACTCAGGTAAGAGACCCACCAGACCTGTGTCATCAGCTGTCATTGGGCTACGCATGATGGGTGGAGCAAGCTGTTGAAGGGCAGAAGGAGAAGAAGCCAGGCTCATGCTGTCTTGTCCACGAGCTCAGGCAAAGACCTACCAGAGGACAGCTCCTGATCTATGTGACACTCCAACAGGGAGAGCTGAAGGACCTGACTCAGAAGGTGGAGCTGCTGGAGAAGTTTCAGGACAATTGTTTAGCGATTTTAGAGAGCAAGGGCCTCAACCCAGGTAAGAGAATGGACTTTGGCAGCATAGCTTCAGGTGGCCCAGCTGGTCAGGAGTTGCTTAGCAAAGGCATAAAGATTCGTGAAAGCTTCTATTATTATCTGATGTTGATTTTTGCCTGACCAATAGAATTTCACAGGACTGTAGAGAGAAGTTTACTTCTACTATCTGAATATCCTCTGCTATTCATTTGGTGCCAACAGGTATGACCTCACAAATAGACTGAAAAATCGTGTTTCTTTGAAGAGAAGTAGAACTTAACTAATGCCTTTCTCAGGAGAGAATCAGGAAAGAGAAAGAGAGACTACTATTCTAGTGTTCCTAAATCTGGCTAATCAGCAATATCAAGGTGACTAATGTGATCATGGCTTGGAGATATAGCACAGTAATAGAGCACATGCTTAGGATGTAGGAAGCCTTGGGTTCAATCCCAGTACCCCCCAAAAAAGTGACTCCTATTCAGACCCTGTCCCTTGAGTAGCAAAGAAAAGACCAGACTCTGTAGCAAAGAAGAGAATGAAAGAAGGAATTGCCCAAAGACTATAAGATGACCAGCCACAATAATAGTACATGCCTGTAATCCCAGCTACTCAAGAAGCTATTTTAATAATAAAAAAATAAATAAAAATTTAAAAAGAAGACTAAAACAGCCTCAGGCTGAGTTGAGGAACCAGAGAATACCAGGGAAAGAGCCTTAGTCCTTGCACTAAGGAAGGCTAACTTTGAATGGGACTGGATAAGTTTAACCTGGGGGGGGGGGGCGGGGTAGCTGTTTTGTTTGGGTGCTGAGGATGGAACCAAGAGCCTAGGGATTGCCAAGCACATGCTCTACCACTGAGCTACACTCCCAGCTCCAGTTTAGATAATCTTTATCATTACCATAAGCATTTTTGTATATTTCTAATATGTGAATGAACTATTACCAAAAATCATTATTTTTAAGACTTCAAAGACTTTTAAGAATAATTTTTGTGTTGTAAACAAAGCAGAAATCCAACCTATACATTCCTCCGAACAAATTTTTCCACTGAGCTAAGAAGAACAGAATGAATTTTTGGCTTTTTTCTTTATGCAGACCTAAAGAGAAAGGAGGTAAAATATAGCTCTGAAGAGCAGGCATGAGTGACTCTTTCCAGGTGAAAACTCAGAGCAGAAAGTATAGAAATAGACACTTGGAGAAAGTTCCCTTGGAAATACTCTGATTCTTGTCCATGGAGGGAGTTTTATTTTGTTCTGTGTAAGGTGCAGTTCCCAGAATGAGGCTGACTTTGTTGAATACATTTCTTTTAGGCAGTGAGACCCTGGCATCACAGCCGGAACCTACTCTGGATCACACAGACTCTATGGTGAGGGCGTGAGTGTGAATGGGCAGGGCCGTATGACTTTGGGGCCCTGTAGATCTTAGAGGGTCTCTGATATATGCCTAACAAACCCCAAAAAGCAGCCTTTGGTTATCCACAATAATAGAAGGGCAAATAGGATGTGTATTCAATTGCATATTTAACCTGAAAGGTAGCTTTGTGCTTACAAACATAAGAAAGTCTGAATTGAAAAGGTACCACTTTAAAACACATGATAGGTTGAACTCATATAGAGAGCTTTCTGATCTCTCCAATCTATACTTTACCAGATTTCACCCCACTAGTCCTTTATTGAGAACTGTGTGATACAGAGTTTCAGCCTGTTAAATTTGAATTTGCAGGGTTTATTTGGTTCCTTCCTTGCAAAAGGAAGGTAATACATTTGGACTTCAAGCCTCTCATACATGCATGATCTTTCACTTGGAAGATTAGTTGTCATCTTAGTCGTCATCTTAGTCATAGAATATTAGCTGCAGAACCTTCCTTGGCTCCCTCAGGCTATTAGTCAGCCCTTCTGTGGCTGCCATATTTTGTTGCTAAGGCCTATGTAGCACAGAGCACATCCTGTTGGGGAAATCTGTATGGTGGACTGAGTTCATCGGAATGCCCATTAGAGAGCCAGGCCAAGTGCATTCAGTGCTTAGCAATTGACAAATGAATGGAACATTAACCACCATCTAATTCATATGAAGATTTGTTTATTACATTGTACTTTCCTCTTAGTTGCTGTTAGAAACTTTGCAAGATGAATTGAAACTTTTTAATGAAACTGCCAAGAAGCAGATGGAGGAGTTACAGGTGAGGGCAAACATCACCCTAAAGCAGGTGTAGATTGTGTTTTTGTGATATGGGAATTGAACCCAGGGGCACTCTATCACTGGGCTATATTCCCAGTCCCTTTTTAATTTCTTCTTGAGATAGGGTCTCACTGAGCTGCCCAGGCTAACTTCAAACTTGTGATCCTCCTGCCTCAGCCTCCCAAATCCCTGAGATTGCAGACATGCACCACTGCCTGTCTTTATTTTTGTTTTTTTTTCAATATTTATTTTTTAGTTGTAGTTGTCAATACCTTTTTTTTAACCTTCATTTTATTTGTTTTTATGTGATGCTGAGGATCAAACCCAGGGCCTCGCACATGCTAGGCAAGCGCTGTACTGCTGAGTCACAACCCCAGCCCAATATCTTTATTTTTTAATTTATTTTTTTATGTGGTACTGAGGATTAAACCCAAGGCCTCGCATGTGCTAGGCGAGCACTCTACCATTGATCCACAACCCTAGCCCCTATCTTTATTTTAATAAACTATTTTGAAATATTTTAGATTTTCAGAAAAGATATTTTGGAAAACTCAATTTCCCTAATAATAATAGTAACAGCTTACATCATCATTGTACATTTGTCAAAACTAAAAAACCAGCATTGATAATTCCAGCTATTCAGGAAGCTAAGCCAGGAGGATCACAAATTCTAGTCCAGCCTCTGCAACATAGTACAAACCTATCTCAAAATGAAGGCAGGAAAAAAGGGCTAGAGTATAGCTCACAGGTAGAACACTACTGGGTTCAATGCCTGATATATGGGCGGTGGGGTGGAGGACAGAAAAAGAAACCAGCACTGGTGAATTATTGTTAACTACATTCCAAGACTTCATTTCGACTTCCCATTTTTTTCCCCACTAACTTTCTTTTTCTGTTCCTGTGGACGCTTAGAAATATTCACATCTCTGGGCCATGAGGCAGTGGGTAGCACAGTAGGTTGTTCAAAATTGACAGTTGAGACCTATGTGAAATCCATGCTGTGAAAGTTTGATATCTCAAGAAAGAAACTGGTTGTAAGAAATCCAGATTCTTGGGCTGGGGTTGTGGCTCAGCGGTAGAGCACTCGCCTAGCACATGTGAGGCGCTGGGTTCGAGCCTCAGCACTACATTAAAAAATAAGTAAATAAATAAAATAAAGGTATTGTGTCCAACTTAAAAAAATGTATAAAAAAGAAAATCTTGGGTCTGAACTGCTTCAGATTGCTTGAATGAATCATTGGTGATATTTCATGGAAAGTAGAGAATTTCATTGCTCTGTTTATATGCAGGAGTCTGCAATACAGAGAACAGTTGCTAAAACCAGCACAGATAAAGAAAATCTGAGATAGAAAATGCAATGTTTGTTGGTCTTCTTCAGTGGAATAGAAGTATAATGTTCTGGTGTGGGTATTGTGTTTCCTATGAGTCAAGAGTTTTAAGTATGTTTATTCTTTTGAAATGCCTTTCCTTGCAGGCCTTAAAGGTGAAGTTGAAGATGAAAGAAGAAGAAAGGGTTCGATTTCTAGAACAGCAAACCTTATGTAATGGTCAAGTCAATGATTTTAAAACAGCCCTGGAGGAAATGGAGCAGCTATTAGAAATGTAATAAAAGACAAGTGGCCAGATGGCTCCCTGTTGGGGATAAAATTCTCAGAGGAAGTCACTTAAGACATCTTCGTGGCCATGATCTTCTAAGACTTACAATCCCCAGAGTGAAAACAGTTTCTGCAGTAGGATTAAGGGCAGATTATGCTGGAATGGAGATTCTTCCTTTAAACAGCTTTCCCCACCTTCAGATTGGTCAACTCTCCTGAGCATCACATGTAGATAATGGAGGCCTATAAGAATGGACCTGGAAGCTTGACTCAACCTTGTAGGCAACAAAGCAGCACACCATTAGAATCAGGAGACTAAAGCAGCCACAGCCAGAGACTCTAGAAGGTCACATTCAGGTTTACAGGAAGAAATCCTTATTTTTACAGTAGAGCACAGGAGCTCCCTGAGGCATCACTGATAAGCTGTGCTTGTTAGAACACACACTGTTCCATCCTGGTTGGGCTTTTATACATCATTGTAAATTTGTGAACTTGAAGTTCTTGGCTTAACAAATGGGGTGATGTATAGATAGGAATAACACCTACCTGAAACAATACATCTTGGAGCTTTTAATCTAAATCACATCTGTTTTTTTTTTTTTTAAGTACTACTTTGGAAATAAATATTCATATAAATATTCTGACTATATATTCTGAGGAATGAAAATAGCTTTAACCTAAACATGTCAACTGAACATTATTATAATAAGTTCAAGATTTTTAAAAAAATTTTTTCAGTTATAGATGAACAGAATGTCTTTATTTTATTTGTTTTATATGTGGTGCTGAGGATTGAACCCAGTGCCTCACACGTGCTAGGCAAGTGCTCTACTGCTGAACTACAACCTCAGCCCAAGTTTGGGATATTTTGATTTACCCAATGCCGGATTTCTGTTCTCGAGACTAAAGGGCTCAGGGGTCACTCTAGTTTAACTGGGCTGCACGAAATAACCACACAAGAGACACAAATACCTTTTTCTTTGGGGTCGCTGTGACGGCTCCTCTGACCTTAAGGGTCTGCAGAAAGAGAGCGAGAGCACGCGCTGACCCCTTTTATTGAGGTGAAGCTATTCAAATGAGGCAAGGGGTCAGGTTTCAGGGGTCTGAGTCTATCTTCATGATGTCCACTGTCAGCAGGTTGACTGACACCTGGGTAGGCCACACCCAAGGGCACAGTAAGAGGAGGGGACACACACAAGGCACTTTCATGGAAGATTCTATCCTAAACAGGGCAAGGGGTTATATTACAAAGCAACAGGTGAGCATAGCTGCACCCATGGGGCTGTAGGAAGATATATCCATTTCTGTGACTGAGGGCCTCAGCACCCAGCTGGGGAGTGTAACTCAGTCACCCATAAGGTTGGCTTCCCACAACCCAAAATATTTTTTTTCCACTCACTGAGCACTCACTCTAGCCCTCTGCCTTCAGGACCAATGAGTGGTTCCCCCATTTGTACCAAGGGTGACAGGCTCCATTGACCTGGCTTGTGCCAGTGTTCTCCCTATACACCTGCTGCTTGCCTGGCACAGCTAACCCTGGGCCCAGTCCCTGCCCTCAAGTTTACCAAAGGCACAGCCAAATTTCCTGCTTAGTCAAAGTAAACAGACTTTTTTCAGCCATCTCCCATTCTTTCTGTACCTCCTAATTTCATCCCCCAAATCCCCTACTCTTAAGCATCTTTAAGTCGTCCCAGAGCCCTCTAGTAAAGCCAAGTAACACGTTACCCTAGCTTAAAGGGCTACAATTATTTGCCCTTGCATAATTGTTTATGTTTCATTTTGAGGAGTGGACCTCATCAATGAGAAAGGCTAAAAATTTCCTTCTACCCACTTTCAGGATATTTATAATTTAAAAGATTATTTACCCAAATTTATAATTGGTATTTCTTTTTTTGCAAGGCGGGGGGGAGTTACCAGGGCTTGACCTCAGGGTCACTCAACCACTGAGCCACATCCCCAGCCCTGTTTTGTATTTTTTTATTTAGAGACAGGGTCTCACTCAGTTGCTTCATGCCTTGCCATTGCTGAGGCTGGCTTTGAACTTGGGATCCTCCTGCCTCACCAACCCCATCCCCACCCACTTCACTGGGACTAAAGGCTTATACCACTGCACCAGGCTGTGATTGGTATTTCTGACAAAAATAAAAGCATAGTTGGAAGGAGAGAGTGGGACACTTTCTTATGCTATCCTCACTTCTTGCTAGGCCTTACTAGTTCACTCCTAGGAATTTAATTATCTGTGTGCTTATCCTGACAAATACATCCTTTCCAACATAGAGACCCTGTCTCATGACCTGATCTCACAAGGGACCTTGATCCCAGGCTTTCACTTAGCATTGCTGGCCAGCATTTGTGCCTTTTTTTTTGGTATGTGTGGGGTGTGTGTGTGTGTGTGTGTGTGTGTTCCCTCTGGTCTCGACAAAAGAGTTGTTCTGAGTGCTTAATCTGCTCTGGAGCCCATAATTATACATTGTATAAATTTGGCATTTTATTTTGGTGGTACTGGGGATTGAAACCAGGGCCTTCTACATTCTAGACAAGTGCTCCACCACTGACTATATCCCCAGCCCCAAATTCAGCAAATATTGATCTGTACTTTTTACTGTGTTAGATGCGTTAGGAAACAAAGGTAGCATCACGGTCCTAACCTCAAGGATACTTATATTTGTCTATTTGGGGAAACAAAATGTGCAGGTGATGCCAGCTACATTACAAAAGGCAATACTTAACTATGGACTTGTGGTGGTATGGAGTCTGATGGTAGTTAACTATGGGCTAGTTTGGGGAAGACTCAATGAAGGAGGTGGACTATGGCTCAACAGAGAATAAATAACATTTGTAGACCAGAAAATTGAGGGGATATTCAGGTTAGTCTTGGGAAACTGGGCAAGAATACAGGTTGGGCTTGTTTCAAATAAGAGGGAATTATGTCTACCACTTAATTGAGCACTTGCTACGTATGGTACTTGTGTATGTTCTTTATGTAATAATACTCATTATGCCATATAAGCTAAGTGCTGTTAGTTGTTTTGTTTTTTCCCCTTCAGTTGACAAATAGGCTAAGAATTGTCCGGGGTCAACCAACAAGTAGGAGAAATGGATTTGAGTACCAGCAGTAGCACACACCTGTAATCTCAGTGGTTCAAGTCTCTGAGGCAGGAGGATCCAAGTTCAAAGGTAGCCTCAGCAAGGTCCTGTCTCAAAAATAAGAAAGGGCTGGGAATGTGGCTCAGTGGTTAAACACCCCTGGGTTCATTTCCTGGTTTAAAAAAAAAAAAAAAAAGCCAGGGAATATTGGGGATGGGAAGTATGTGTTTGTGCCAGCAGTTTTGAAGACCCTTGAATGCCAGGCTAAGAAGTGTGAATTTTTATCATCTAGGCCAGAGGTTTCCAAACTTTTTAAATCATGGTGCCTTCAGTATCTCCATGATTTTTTACTTTTATATTATTTCTTTTTTTGCAGTACTAGGGATTGAACTCAGCCTCACACATGCTAGGCACGTACTGAGCTACATCTTCATACCCAAATTTTGAGACAGGGTCTCGCTAAATTGGCCAGATTAGGCTCAAATTTGTGATTCTCCTGCCTCAGCCTTCTGAGTTCATTGGGATTGCACCACTCGTTGGGTATACACCAATCACTGTGCCTGGCTGAGTCTATTCTCTTATTCCTGCTATCCTCCACCTTTAACATCAAGGCCAGATTCATGTTTCTAAAATACTCATGGTATTTGCCTGGTTAAGACATGAGTAAAGGGGCTGGGGATGTGGCTCAAGCGGTAGCGCGCTTGCCTGGCATGCGTGTGGCCGGGGTTCGAACCTCAGCACCACATACAAAGATGTTGTGTCCGCCGAGAATTAAAAAATAAATGTTAATAAACTCTCTCTCTCTCTCTCTCTCTCTCTCTCTCTCTCTCTCTAAATAAAAGGAAAAATGCTGTAAGTTGTTCTTTAAAAAAAAAAAAAAAAAAAAAAGACCTGAGTAAAGCTTGTTGCTTATATCTGTGGTTCCCAGACCATGAGCCAAGGCACCCTTGGAACATGGCTGCATATTCACAGAATGCCACGGGATATTCTAATGTTAGGGTACACACAGGGATACTTGACATGTTAGGCCCCTGTGAACTATCAAAGTAGGTCAGTAACAACATAATAGACCAGGCTCAATTCCTTTGAACACCAGTTAGGAAAGGAAGGTGGCAGTGCCCATCCAGCTAGATTCCAAAGTTTGAGAAGTTGAGAGTGCCCAACGTCTGACTAGTAAATGATTATATAGTTGTTTTAAAATGGAAATATACATTTTCTTTAGATTTAGGTGTATTACATTTTCAAACTACTACTAAGTTGTTAGGACATAAATACTATTTGACCCAATCACTTAAACACAACTAGTCCAGGTCTAGTAAAAAAAAAAAAAAATAGTAGAGATGTAGCTTGAGCGCCTCTGGAGTCAATCCCTAGTACAAAAAAAAAAAAAAAAACAGGAAATAAGTATGTAGGGCCATGACTACAAAGGTGTAAAGTAAGTTGAATCAAAAACTACAGGAATTAATTGGTGGCTTGAGAGGTTGAGGAAATTGAGTCATTATAGAATTGGTTTTTTTGGTGGTGATGGTGGCGGTGGTGGTGGTGGTTTTCCTGATACTTGAGGTTGAAACCAGGGACACTCAACTACTGAGTCTTTTTTAAAAAATTTGAGACAATCTTGCTAAGTTGCTTAGGACCTGGCTAAATTGCTGAGTCTGGCTTTGAACTTGCAATCGTCCTGCTTAGCTTCCCAAATCACCAGGATTACAGGCATGTGCCACTGTGTTCAGCTATATAGAAGTTTTTGAGTTAGGGTGATAGTAAGAATTGGTTATAAAAATTAGGATGTTTTTGCCAGACATGGTGATGCGAATCTGTAATCCCAGCTACTCAAGGGGATCACAAGTTTAAAGCTAACCTGGGTGACTGTGACTGTCTCAAAATTAAAAAGACTAGGGGATGTATTCATTAGTAGGGTGCCATTGGGTTCAATATCCAATGCCCCCCCAAAAAAAATGTTTTTTTCAGCTTGCAGCC